GAATTCCCGAGGGCGAAGCCCGAGGGAATTCCGCAAACCTGCCGAGGGTAAGGGGTCATTTAATCACTAATCTCCCGAAAAGCCATACTATTAGTTTGTAATAGCATAGTTTCGCTCCCATTTAAAAATGGACAAACATGCCCTACTTGGAATCAGCGTATTTAAGCTAAAACATTTGCTTCATTGCTTGTGGGATGTAAAAGCTTGTTGCACATGCGCACTTTTTACGCTTTAATCGGTTACGCATACGCAATCTATCATTTAACGTACCACAACAAACACGCTAAATATATTAGTATAAATTTGGAGACTGCACGTGCGTAATTTAAATGATGCGGCAACTCAGGGATCGGATGATAGACTATTGACGGCTCTGAGCTAACTGTTGCTGTTCCTTGCACGATTATGTGCGTGAGGCACTTGCCTAATGCATAGTCGTCAGGGAGACAAAGGTGTGACCCTTGGTAACGGGCGATTAGTTCTAATCGCCCGCTCTAGCGGGCGATTAGAACTAATCGCCCGCTACAGCGGGCGATTAGTTAGTAATGGTACCTGTTGAAACAAAAGAAACCCGGGCAACTATGCTATTACCTAAATTATACCTGCAGGCTGGAACAGCCCTAGTATAATTCGAATTGCAGATGGCACGATACAAAAAAATATATGTTGAAAAGGTAATGCGTGTCTTAAATTCCATTTGTTTTTCGCATCTTTAGTTTTAAACCCAGTATGCTAAATGATGAGATCTTCATCCGAACATTGTTGCTGCTGGTCTGACAATGAGTCTCTATTTTTTTATTACCTGAATATATTTATAAACTTTCATAAAGCGACTGAAACCCAATTCATCTTCCAACATTTTTCTTGATTCTTCTAAACGTGCAAATACACTGTCTTTATCTTCTTGTTTGCTTTCATTATGTGACTCTTCATCATCGCTGTCACCTTTACGAAAGAGACGATTAAATGATTGAGGAGTGCATGCAGAAATTGTCACTTCATGGAACTGAAGATACTCTCAAATGATTTCCCCTTATTCACTCATGCAGCCGATTTATCTACTACTGGATTATGTATCTACTACTAGAAATACATGCGTGCAGCAACCCCTCGCCTTTCTTAACAGATGAAGTATAAATATTTTACATGAAGTATTCCATGTTTAAAATAATAGTAGTTGCCATGGTAACGTGAAAACATGGGAAAATAATAAGAGATAATTTTTCATAACCAAAGAATCATTGATTTTCAAAATCTGGATTGTACAGTTTTATGTTTTGTGCATGGCTTTCAATAGCCTAAAATTTAATGTAAAATAAAACGATAAAATGTTTCGAAAGCTTTATTATAGCCGTGAAGCTGCAGGGGAAACTGAAAAAGTCGTTTTGCCGACAGTAGTTTGCTCGAAATATATTTGCTTCATAGGCAAAAGCTAATTTTTGAGTTATACTTTGGTCAAGCCACATTTACTGTAGGTAAAAGACCAGTACAAACTCACATAAAAAAACACGATGCGCTATAGGCTATTAAAAATTGTCCCAAAGGAACAATAATAATTACCACAATTTCATGTAAATACCAGATTACATGCATAAAAATTAAAAACATGTTATTTGTTGAATTAAGAATGGCTTAAAAATTTCGCAGATATGAATGTACTCGAAAACACAAGTACCGTATGGAATTTTAACGCTGAAATGTTTAGTATTAGCACTTACCCAAGCATATAGCCAAGACAACGATTAAATTTATTAAAAACATCTGGTTCGTCTTTCGACAAAATTCGTGTTTATGCCTTTCACACTTTGTTTCACGATTGACAGCCACTAATTCATGAAAACTGCAGGTTTGTTTCCAGTTAAATGCGAAATACATCGCAAAAATATATTGTAAAACAGCAAAATACATAACTTCTTTGTAGGATTGCAAATATACATCGTTGCAAAATGAAAAGCAAATTAATTTAGCGCGAGCTTGCACACGCGCATGCGTATAACGTCGAAAACCGCCCATCACATAATGGAGGACAGCTTTGCACTTCGCTATGTTCTCAAATACCCAGGTGTCAATAGCTCAGAGGAATTAGTACACTCGCGCCGTTAACTCAGACTATAGACACACTGAAAGTCACCTGAAGTTCTGGTACGGACATTTCTAATCTAAAGATGGTAAGGACAGTGTTTCGGTTATCAAGAATCAAGATACGGTCATTCTTTGTACATGATTTCTCAGCAGTGCAACAGATTGTGTTGTTTTCCAGACCGTTATTCCAGACTGTTCATTCAAATTATAGAGACCTTAATTTTCTATTCTCATAGAAAACATCGTCTACACGCTAACGCGACACTTGTTACTACCATGTTTGTAACGAGCATCTAAAGTTTTCAATTACAAAGAAGCTTAGCCAATCAACATTGGCGTTTCAATCTGTCAAATGATAGACAAACCTGAACGTTGAACGGTCTGTGCCAGCGTAGTGACAATAACACCAAAAGGCCGTATTGAGAGGGGTTCAACTACTTGAAAAATACAAGCAAAACGTCGACGTTTCGGGGGAAGATCCTTCATCGGGAAGGTACAGCTACTAACTTCCCGACGAAGTTCGCTCGAAACGTGACGTTTTGCTTGTATTTTTCAGGTACAGTCGAACCTCTATTTAGCGGCCACCCTCGGGGATCGGCTTTGTGGCCGCTTAATAGAGGTGGCCGCTAAATAGAGGTATACGCAAATAATAGACCCTGGGCGTAGTCAAATGTCTATTTTTAATTATAAATCACAGAATACTACAGACAATGCTTTTGAGATGTAAAGTGGCATGTGTTAAAACATAATTTTTATGCATTATTTTACAAATAAAGCAAATTAGCTCGACTTTTATTTGCGGCTCTCTTGACAAGGTGTTGCGCCAAGTAAATCCTGCAGACTGACCGCTTAATAGAGGTTAAGATTGACATAAAACATCATTTGGGACCGCTCTTTGGGTGGCCGCGGCCGCTTAATAGAGGTCGTCGTTTAATAGAGAGATAGTTTATAGTATTTGTATTACAAAAATTTCGGGACTTCGATATGTGGCCGTTTAATAGAGAGTGGCCGCTCAATGGAAGGCCGCTTAATAGAGGTTCGACTGTAGTTGAATCGCTCTCAATCCGCAAACCTGAAGGTTTCACGTGAGCACAGATAATGTTTTTACCAGCAACTGTTAACATTACTTGTTGTGAACCGCATACCTGAATCCCAATCTTCATTTAAAGGTAATGGGGTTGATGACTGACTGTCAGAATCATCATTCGAATCGGAGTCATCTAAAACAAAAACAGCGTAACTGTTTATTCAAAATTCTATCTCCTATACTGCACAACGATATTTCTTATAACATACCATCACTTGTGCAAGTAGTGTCCAGATTCCGAACTGTTTTGATTGGCGATGGTGAACGAGCTTAAAAACATATATTATATAGGCTATGTTACGACATCAATCATCAGTTTCAAAATATCATCACTAAATACACATTATTATATCCTTATTACCCATTTTACTATTTACTATTTAAATTGAACAAAACAGCAAAACATAAAAACAGTACATGTCTTAAGTTTAGGATAAAGATATCTTAGAGTAAAGACGAAACATTCGTTCAAGACGAAGAAGGTGAGATAAAAAACCAAAAAAAACCCAGAGGAGGTTGGACAGCAGGCCGCAAAGCATCATGGGTATTGAGCGCCTAATTCCGCGCGTGACTTCACTGACTGTTGACTGTCGAGGAGTGAACATCTCTCTGACTAAACCAATATGGAAGCTTTCGAACGACAAGAGTGTCAGGCTGCGATATTTTGTGAAAAGAAACAGCATGTTATTGCTGTATTGTTGCGATCATCATTATGACTTGTGTTTTACTATACCAAGTTTACCTTTTTTGAATATTTGCATGGGACATGTTGTCATTTTAGCTTAATAAATAATGCGTCTGAGCGAAGGAATTGTGTTTATATTCCCAATAGCGAGGCTCTTCTTTCTAACTTGGATGACGTTAAATCTCCGTGTATCATCAACGTGAAAACAAGCGCAATATTGAAGGTTGGTATACTACAATGCATTACAGTTACCTTGTTATTTAGTCAAATTATTATCCGCTTTGTTGTTTTTAACCTTGTACTGTAATTTTATAAATACACTGTACAAAATTAATATGGCGTAATATTTGTGTTTATAAATGGCTCTAGTTTGACTCTATTGTGTGTGTCTGTGTACTGTGTCACTGTGATACATATGTACATGCTTTGAGTTAAACAAATTGTTTAATAAATTTTTGCTGAAGTATGATGCCTGTTTGTATCTAGTTGTAGATAGATTTTTACATATATGTGCATACAATAGTGATATTTTTCAATTTTCATCTGTAAAATATTGCCATATTTGTGTGTTGTTCTATAAATATTACTGTAAAAAGTGACACACTTTTGCATTAGATTTCTAATTTTAGAGATTACAGTTTATGTACAAAATAATAAAATAAAAATTTTCTGGTTATGATTTTGTAGAAAGAGATCTACTTGAGTGGTTGGCTGGTCTTGAACCTGGTCAGCATGGATATGGTAATGAAGGTGATATGGCAGAAAGTTGTGACCAGTTAAGTGATGAGGATGAAAGTGACGAGGACGAAATCACCCATACTGTACCATTCAAGTGCATCGGTGCTGCTCATGAGAAAAATTACCAACATCAACAGCATACCTTGTCCTTCATGGACAAGATAAACCAGTGAATGTAAGAATACGGCCAGAGAATCCAATGGACCCAAGTGCAATTGCAATTGATGTAGACTATGGAACTGGATGGACACACATTGGTTATCTTGCTTCTCAACTATGCGAGTATTTGCACCGACTAATTGTCACAGGAGATATCTTAGAGGTCTATGTTCAGCATATCAAGTATAGGGTTGACTTTTTTAAAATAGGATTTTATCAAAAAATTTTCATAAAGCGATGTGAGTGGGAGACTCAAGTGGTAAGGAAGAGCACGAGTGTACGTTGACAGATGTTTGTGATATAACTGTAACTGACTAGGTTTAGCAAGTTATAGAAATGATCTTATTTCAATTAGGTAACTTTTTAGATTTTCATAAACAAAAACTAGGTTAATCATAAGTGGGTGTGCACAATTAAAATAAAAAAGTCTGTCATGCACACTCATGCAATTAAGACAAGTACATAATTGTAACATGTGCTGTACTAAATGAAGAAATAAATAGTTTGTACATTCACTTGACCAACTTTGTGAGTAATTTTTATTTTTCATTAAAATTAATGCAACAATAAAACAAAAATATGTCTATTTATATACATATTGATCAAAGGTCCCACAATAACATGCTGCTGATACTTTGTGGTACATTACATGAGAATACAAAAAAACCTGCATATAATTGCACCTATCAATGTCAAGCCCCAGAGGGGGTGGGCATATGTGGGGTATTTGATCATCAATTGCATCCCCACTCTGGGGATTTTGATTAGCATTTTGGGCCTGAGTTAGGGCAATTTGAACCAAACTGACTTTTATTAATATAGTATTTATTGCAATTTATTGCAAAATGGTGGGGTGTTTGACCAATATCTATTACCTAACAGTGGGGCATTTGATTGAAAATTTGCTCAAAAAATCAAATGCCCCACACATATGCCGACCCCACCCCCTCTCTGGGGCTTAACATTGAAAGAACCACCATTTCTCAAACTTTATCTGAATTAGTTGTGTAACATCATTACAAAATACTGTTAAAAAAAGGCCAAGTGGGCCTTCACTCCTATAAAGGGCATTCTATCCAATGGCATCAGACCAACATCTCCATGGTGTTGTTCTCCAAAGCATCGAGCAGTGTGATAAATCGGTTGTTTTTTTGACCAGCATGAAGTACAGACATAGCCTTGGCAACAAGTGGGAGAAAATTTTGAGGGACAAATTTAGCATCTAAACCAGGGTTAACTTTTACCAGCCATTTTTGAAACAGGTGCATGGATGAGTAGTTATTCTGGTTGTCGCTGGGTTAGTTTTGAAAATCCAGAAGTCATACCAATAACATAACCAGAAAGGTGAACAAGGTTTTGGTCACTCGATGGAGAGACAATCATAGCATCGGAGATATTGCAGATGTAGAAGGTCTGTACAGATTGGAAGGACCGATTTTACCTCCAAATTTAATGATGATGCTTAATTCTTGCTGACAAAATCATTGACAAAAGTAGAATCCGGATAGAATTAAAGATTATACTTTTGTTTAACTAATCGTGAAAAAAATAGCGAAATCGAACCGTGGAAATTTGAGATTTTTGTCTTCAAAGATTGTTGACAGAAACGCCATTAAATTACATCGCGACGGCATAGCGCCTAAAGTGAGAGGTCAAAATAAACTGGAAAATAACGCTTACCTTTCAAGATACCGTCCCAATGGGTAGATTCACTGTTGTAAAAGTAGTATCGCGTGAAATTTCCAAAAAAATGTGCATAACAATATGAAAAAAGTCGATATTTATGAGCCCTATGTAAATTTTCGATGCCAAAAGCTTCATGCGAGCATGAGGAAAATGGCGCAATCTGATTGGTCGAGAGATTCGCCCAGATTCGCCTAATTAGCTGTCCAACCTCCTCTGAAAAAAAAAACAGGACCTGCAGAATTTTTGCCAAGAAATAAAACTCACCATCACTGACTAGAACATCTTCCATTGAAGCCAACATACTGATATAATCTTGACTTTCTTCATCACTGCAAAGTAAATACGAGAAAAAGATTTTTGTGGATGGAAATTTCGAGAGAACAAGTTATATATACATGCATATTTTAGACCTGACCGGGAGGAACTGCGAAAAATGCAATCATAGGCCTTCGGGCAGAAATTGAACCTGTGGCCCCGTACAGAGCGTATGCAGTTGCCAAACGCTAACTGGAAGGTTAGAGTAAGGTTAAGTCTACAAAGTAGCTGAGGAAAAATCACAGAACTTTAACGAGATAACACAATTCCTGTGGAGGTCCAACAACCGCGACTGGGAGAATTTCGACCGTAGCTACGAGCTCAAAAGACTAGTATGGGAAAAGTCAGTGAAAGCTGTGCCGTGGGTTTTCTCCAGCAACTCAGATTTCCTACAGTCCCACACGCAAGGTTCAGGAGGTAGGCTCGTAAGGAGAGTTATAAAACAATTGTTGCTAGTTGCTAACATAAATAGTCTAGGCTAGAAGTGAGAGTACTCGATGTAATATTACGACGACAGAAATGCTGCAAAGAGGAGCTGGATATTGATTAATTTACCGTACCCAACCTTGCGCCATATATACCAACATAAACCTATTTTCACACTTACCTTTCCTCGCATGCAATGTCAATGTCAACTTCTTGCCCAGGATCATCATCATCTTCACAATTCACCAATGATGATGGTTTTATATTATCACAATCTACCAAGCCTCCCTCGCCTTCTCCCGTAGACAGTTTCACACACTCGTCTTCAGTAACAGTTTCAAATAATAAACGAAGGTCGGGTAGAGAGCACGTGCGTAAACGCTGTATGGAAAAACGATAATTTAGACAAACGTACTTGGTGATACGATTTTAGACCGCTATAAATTACAGGTACAAGTGTAGAGTAACCTTTGCTGTATCTTCCTACTTAGTACATACTAAAACACCCCATCCGTCCCTGGTTAAAAATTTCCTGGTTAATCTAAAATGAACACTGTTTGGGGTAACCTAATGTTCTTGGCTAAATTTCATGGTTAATTTAATTACATGTAGTCCTGGTTAATTTGATCATAGTCGTGGCTAATTTAACTAGGCTATATATTTGAATTAACCAGATTATATTAGGGCGACTATTAACCAAGAGGTTAATAATCCACCTAACATAATCTGGTCAATTCCAACCTGATAGCCTGATTAAACCAGAAATCCCGTTTAAATTAACCAGGACTGTGGTTAAATTAACCAGGACATTTAACCAGGAGCATTGAGGTAGCCCAAACAGTGTTAATTTTAGATTAACCACGAAATTTTTAATAATTAATTGAGTACAGCATGGTTCAATTTGGTATAAAATCGAACGCCCGTGATTACAACTGTGACCAATTATTGACAATGTTTTATTGGAAATTTTGACTGCAATTTTCTCCTTATTGCTTCTGAGAAGTTCTTGGATATTTTGTATAATATCTTGGTAAGCCTTCATAATGGGTGATTCCAGCTATAGACTAACTTTGATCTAGGCAAGAAGAACGAAATCCAACACCACAGCTCGAACGAGCATCTTAGAATGAGTAAAGCTGTAAAGTTTGGTTGCGAAATGTTGTAAAATGACGAAAATATAGCCCTGTGAAGTTCGCAAATTTTGTATATATTTGTATTACGCGCGGTAAAAATAACCAATTCGGGCTCAAAAATGGTTATTTTTCCCGCGAATAATGCAAATGTGTATAAAATTTGCGAACTTCACAGGGCTATATTTTCCTCATTTTACAATATTTCGCAACCAAACTTTGCAATTTTACTCATTTTAAGATGCTCTTTCCAGCTATGGTAAAGGATTTCGTTCTTCTTGTCTAGATCAAAATTTCGTCTATATAGCTGGAATCATCTATTATATATATTTTTCTAGAACCACTCATAAAAAATCACAACTGCTCGTGTTTATAACAATAATTAAACTCTCAGTTGTTGTAGTATGTTTTATCTAATTACATAATTATAGTGTTACTTGTAAATATATAGCATATACTTAATCTTTTATTCTCCTACTACGCAATTGTAAAGCAATTCAGTTGTTACTGCTATTTTGGAAATTGATGATTTTAAAAATCTTAAATCTCAATACCTCGAACGGCACCAACCTCCAAGTACAATAGTCTGACATTAGAACGGAAATGGAGAATGAGGGCCTGCTGGAAAACTTAGCTTTCCTGACTAAACGCCGTTCAATTCTTGAACGTAGAATTTGAGTGGTCAACAACGTGAATTAATTGACATGTTCACGCACCAGCGAATATAGTATTACAGTACATTTCTTCTTCTTCATTGATACATTTAAAAGGGAAAAGATTTCTTTAGGCCCGGGGTTTTTCCTACATCTCGTGTTTTCTGGTAGGCTCTATCTTCGTTCACATTTTCCGTTTCAACGAGGCCGAGCGTTGGCCACACAGGCTATACCATAAATAGATTGTTTTAATTTACCTTGGAGTCTGTGTCATATCTTCCAGTATTTAGAGCTATTGGTGAAACATCCATCAATTCAGCTGTCTGGTAAAACGATCTGAAAATAAAACGACCAAATTAACAACACTGAAAAGGTGTGGAAGGCAACGCAGGCCTGGTTGGCAGAAGGAACTTAAAAACCACTGCCAAGTACTGTAAGTTTCTCTGGGTTGCTCGTAACAAGATGTAATTTAGAATTGTTCAAAACCTTTAGAAAAAGATTTTGGGATTTTATATAGAGTTAATTCGATAAAGGTTGTCCTTCACAAAGTCTTAAACCTTAAACATTGAGCGCGCAAAGTATGATGGGTATTGCTTATTTAGATAGAGCCTTGGACAAACATAGTGAACGAAATAGCCCTGCATCGAAAGAGTTGATTACATATGTCTTAGCATTGTTGCGAAGCAAATTTCCCGAGTTTCAGCTTCTCTAAATATGAAGTTACCCATCATGCCTTGCGCGCTCAATGTTTAAGGTTATTGAAAGACAACCTTTTTTGAATTAGCTGTATTCAAAGATCCAAAGACAGAAATAATTGTTAACCAGGAGCAGTTGCGAAAAATGCCACTATCGACCCTCTGGCAGGAATCGAACCTGTGGCGTTGCGATTCCGGTGCAGTGCTCTAACCAAGTGAGCTGCTAATAAATGTGTAAAAATGCCGCTCGAAATTTCCATCTACAAATCCTGATTATAAGGCAGAAATACACTTTGCATCATTTGATACGAGACTTTCAAAATGCAAAAGGCTGAGTCCTTTCAAATTGAAAAAGAATTTTAAACGGTTCAGTCCTGCCCCGTCCGGGAGCGACACAGCGTCAGCCATGCGCGTAATATCCCTGCGACTACTTTCTAAACTGCCTCAAACATAGCTTAAGTCTTAAAGGGATATGGCAATAAAAATCAACTTTGTCTTATTTGAAATAACTTTTAAAGTTATATATATGAAGACCCTTTACAACTTTTTCGTACCTTGCTTGGTTTTCGAAATATTTTGACAAAAACAGGTGTGCAGCCCGCCATCTTGGTATTATATTTGACCTAATTAACTGAATAATTTTCTTTTTAGTAACGACCAGAAGGCTTTTTTTATAACAAATTTAATAAATTGTAACAACGTTTCGGAGTTTACTCCATCATCAGGTTACATTTATACGCACTAAAAAACCCGTTAAAGCATGCGACCGTTATTAGTGCGTATAAATGTAACCTGATGATGGAGTAAACTCCGAAACGTTGTTAGAATTTATTAAATTTATTATAAAAAAAGCCTTCTGGTCGTTACTAAAAAGAAAATTATTACATTTAAATGAGGCTTAGAGAAAGTTCGCTTCTAATCACATTGACTAATTAACTGAGTTTTTGATGACGTCACAAGCATGGTAAACTTGTTAAAACTTCCTCATGTGGGACTAAATTTCTTCGAACAGTTTCTTAAAATGTTGTGAGTTAATTACAGGTAAACTACGTGAAGCGTTCCTCTTTTGACTTCGTAACTCATTTGGAATTTTCCTCATTAACTTTGCAAATTTGAAAAACTCTTTGCAAATCCCTTGAGGGAATTTACAATATTCCAAACTTCATTTTAAATTTTCCTAACTTCCTGTTTTAATTTCCTAACTTCCTGTTCTGTTCTGAGCGTTGTTATTGGTCGATTATTTTTGTTAGCCAATTGCAACGCCCAGAACAGAACAGGAAGTTAGGAACTTGTAACAGGAAGTTAAGAACTTCTAACAGGAACTGAGGAAAATTTTTTTGGCTTTTAGCAACATTGCAAATTCCCTCAAGGGATTTGCAAGGGAGTTTTTTAAATTGCAAAAGTAATGAGGAAAATTGCAATCAATTTAGAAACTCAAAAGAGGAACGCTTCACGTAGTTTACCTGTAAGAGCTGAAAATACTTCGGAAAATCGAGTTTCATATTGATAATGACATGTGGTTTGCAAGATAAAACGTTCGCTTTTTACCCTACTTGTGACGTACGCATATCGAATGTATATCCAAGATGGCGGAATGAACGCTGCTTTTGATCAAAATAAGTCGATTTATTTCGAAAACCAAGCAAGATACGGAATAATTGTAAAGGAAGTTTAGGTATAATTTTAAATGTTCTTTCAAATACGACAAACTTAATTTATATTGCCATATATCCCTTTAAGAGTATAAAGTATGGAATTATTGGGTGACACTTACTGTTCCTCCTCACTAGAAATATCTTCAACCTTCAAATCATCTTTCTTCGTGGCGTCCTTTCTAACATTTACTTTCTCAAACAGAAGTCCCTGTTCTTCTTCTTCGGGAGATTTTGAGTTACTTCGTAATGAATGAAGAAACTCCTGGTAAGATTTTCTTACTTCGGGTAATTCTTCCTTTGTTGGAGTGTCTAGAGTGTGAATAAGCCAATCATTTAGAAGATACGTTTGTTGTATACGATTGTTAATATGGAGGCCTCTATAAACGACATGACTAGTCATACCTCTACGTTTCTTCCCTTGGCGTATGCGATTGAGTGCATGCAGTATTTTCAGCCCCCAGTCTACAAGCACTGAAAAACTACGCCCCCCACCCTCTATTAATTAAAATCATTCTCAATGTAAACTTGTAGCGAAATACGAACACAGTTGAAGCCGACTTGAAGGGTATTCTGTAGATGCATCTAACCAGGAGCAGCTGAGGAAAGCAACTATAGACTTGAAATCAGTCAGAAATCGAACCTGCGGCACTACAGAGCTCAGTTATCGAGCTCTAACCACACGTTCTATATATATACAGGGTGTATAAAAAAAAACTGAACAGATTTGAAATTGCTCTCAATTTCGCAAAACACCTATTTGTATCCGGTTTTTTATATATATATAGCTTCTTTGGATACTTATAATGTAGAATAATGAAAGAAATTTCTCAAACTCAAATTTTGTGGACCAGGGGGGTGTGTCTTTTCCAACAAACTAAAAATGGCTCGCGCACAAAATTTAAAAGATGTAATCATATTTTGAGTTCATAGATGGAAACTTTGTCGGGTTTTTAATTACTGTACAAAATTTCAGACAATTTGGTTTAGTTTAAGCCCTTTAACTATTTATTTTATTCTAAAAAATCAGCTTTTCGCATGCTTAATTAATGCCTTTACCTAATTTGCATATTGCTGACATATGCAAATTAGGCAAATGCATTAATTAAGCATGCGAAAAGCTGATTTCAGTTAGGAAAAATGTAACTTTGCGTGAATAGTTAAAGGGCTTAAACTAAATCAAATTGTCTGAAATTTTGTACAGTAATTAAAAACCCGACAAATTTTCCATCTATTAACTCAAAACATGATTACAACTTTTAAATTTTGTGCGCGAGCCATTTTTAGTTTGTTGGAAAAGACACACCCCCCTGGTTCACAAAATTTGAGTTCAAGAAATTTTTTTCATTATTCTACATTATAAGTACCCAAAGAAGCTATATATATAAAAAACCGGATACAAATAGGTGTTTCGCAAAATTGAGAGCAATTTCAAATCTGTTCAGTTTTTTCTGATACACCCTGTATAGCCAAAATCAAAGTTGCCAAGATCTAATATATTCTTGTTCATTATTGTCTATACTCTAAGAAAATGTCAATTGACAACTTGTAACAGAAAATGGCATCAAACAAATTTCGTTGCACATTTTCAGGTTTTGGCTGACCGTCTTTTACACTAAGGGTTTTTGATGAGGGAGGAAAACCAGAGAACCTGGACTGAAAAATCCTCGAAGCACAGGATACGAACCAAACTGTACTTACAGTACTGTGTTTCCAGGCGCAGGGAAGTCACCCAATCCAAGTAAACCCCTGCCCTCGTTCCTCAAAATGCGCATGACCTACCAGTTGAGAAATCCAAGACAACAAAATTATATCCACGTTTTCTATAGGACCGTTCAATGCCATTAATTCGGATAGATCCCATACCACAACCTCTTATTCCAGGGTCGTTGCATCCTTCACTTATTATGTCAACTTTTACACGCACTAGAAAAAGGGGGAAGAAAACATGTGAGTCAAATAAATTATCATCATAAACACTTAAGGTGGCTCCCTACAGTTTTCTAAAATTTTAAGTATTTTAGGTAGCCTTCGTTTTGAAGTCGATAGTCCTAAATCCAGTTGAAGCTGTTGACGTAACAAAATAGCGATTCGACATGATCACTATTTGCGTGAGGAACACGAAACACGTACGGTTTATAATAGTTGGCTTTTTTAGCAATTTTCTCTTTGAGTTTTTGGCTTATATGTATCACACAGATATTTTTTACTTATTTGAAATGAAAATAAAAGATATATATATTCAAAATACGAAACATTGACAACACAATAACGCACTGACTTAATCGAACGTTTCTTAAATTTAGTTTTGTTGTGAAAATCGGTGTGAAAACTTTCAAGTAGAGTTTGACTTTTCGTATAAAACAACTCGTAACTGTCAGCTGCATTATAGTTTTATTGGATTCAGCAGATAAAAAACTACATGTGAACTGAGTTGAATGACAGGATTTACGTAAGTTTCAGTGACAATTCAGGAGTGCCTTCAAGACAGTATAAAATATAATTTCAGGACACTGTTGTTGAACATTGTGAGCATTATGAAATACAGTACTGAACGTATTAAATATATAAAAAAACACACTGAATGTAGGTAAAAACTAGCTAACAACATACGTACTGTTCGAATGTTGAAAAGTTTAGGATTATAATAAAAAAACTGGCGTTTTCTTTGCAGATAAAAATACAAAAACAACTTCCCGCGGCTTGTTTAGTTGTTTCAAGATTTTTACCGGGCCACGAAGATTCCACGCGCGAGTCGCGAGGATGACGTCTGAGCTATATAAATATTTTAAACTGGACTATAACTGTAGGGAGCCACCTTAAGCGTATATATGCACAAGCAGATACGACTAACAGATCTAAGCAGAGCACTGTAATACCTGAAGGGTTTCCAGTGGGACCGCCCACCGGTGCTTGAGATACTATAAATAATACAGATAAAGTTTTAGAAATATAAATATATACATAAAACATATAAACAATCACATGGTTCCATCCTCCCCTGTTCAAAAGCACGGGGTATAGCCTTACGAGATTTGTTGAACTGCTTTCACTGGGGTTGAGGGTGTCCAAAAACGACCACCGTGCTAATTCTGGCAGTGGAAAGAAACTAGGGTATCTGGATATGATTTGATAGACTTAAACTGGAAGCACACTTCCATAGCCGTATGGACCTAAATTTGTAGGGAGGAAAGAAACTGAAGGAAAAACTGTAGGAGAAACTGAAAATGCCCGACTTTCGATACACCCTAACCTCCAAACGCAAGCACACACTCCGGTGATAACATATACGTGCATTCGCTAACAAAAACGTTATCGAAATACTGAACACATATAATCAATAATCTCTTGTGTACCATCCACAATATCGGATTAATTTCCAATTTCTACCAACTTTACAGCTGCAACTAAAACCCTATATATAAATGATCATGATGACATCATGATAAACGATATCATGCATATTGCATGAACCAGATCTTTTCTCTACCCAACTACCTATCTTCCTTTACCTTCACGAAGGAGAAACAACCCTATGGCAAGTCCCCGGCATAAGCTACCGTTTCATTTCTACACTGCATTCATTTGTCACACCACCTTTATATGCCACATATTATACCTGGTGGTCTGATATAGATGTCCCCCTGCGAGATGGGTCTTTGCAGAGAACCACTAGGCAGTTTTACTCCGACAGCAATATGGTCACCGCCACCTCCCTCTTTCAACAGTGCTTCCATGTAATAAATTTTTCCTTTCTCCAACTGGACTGGAGAAGACGTTTGAGACGGATCTCTGTGTAAAGGTAACAGTATACATAGTTCAACTATTTTTCAAAATTATTAATCGGTTCAAGAACAAAACATGCAAAGAAGGACAGAGATACATTCACATGGTCGAGATGGATCCTATAGGTGTTTTGCTGATGGTCAAGATAAGGAATGAAGATATCACAAGAACACGTAATAGGGTTGGAAGACAGCTGGTCAGAGTTATTGTCGAACAAAGATATCAAAAATGGGCTGGTAAACAATGCAGAAAAGGTGAAAGAAGAACGACTGAAACAGCATGAAGAAGTTAAGAACAAGAACAAAATAAAGACGAGACGTTCTGAGACATTGTGGAATGAAAATGTGAGATAGTAATTATAGTCCTGGTGGTCAACAGGTCAAACGAGAACAAGAGTTGCATAAGAGTTGATGAACGTTGGCTTGATATTACCGAGCAAAAACTTGAACACATAAAAATTTGAACCAGCTCAAAGTCGGTAATAGGTGATAGTGTGCACGAGAGTCGATGATAGTTGGCGATCATCTTGGTATCTGTCATCATGTCTCATCCTCATTTGACCGGAGCTTTGTATAGAATTGATAATAAAATTTAATATACTGCAGTGTTTCTTACTTCTCCCATTCATCACGATTGGTCCAAAGACCTTTCTTAAACTGAAGAATTTGATTCAGGTTTTTAGGATTGTCATCTGAACTTATTGAAAGCCTACACTGGTCATCCCCAGCACCGTAGAATGTATAAGATCCAGTTTCAGGAGCCTAGAAAAAATTAACAAAATATATGTCCAGTGTGGGTGTTTTATACATGTGTTTGAACTGCCGGTACATGAAGAAATAGAGAACTTTTGAGCCATGGTATACTTCGTCAAAAGCCTAGTACTGACGCCTTGCATGGTTGGTGTAAGGGCGAACGGGTTAACAAGGCCAAAACTTTGCCACAACTAGGCAAGGGAAAATACAGAAAAACGGGCCAAATATACCAAAGGATACATGTCGATCGTAAAATCCCCTTAACTAAATGTGAAGTCATGGATTTCCCTTATCTCCTTAATAGACTTCAGCTTCCATAATACAACTGCCGTTAACCTTGCCATAACCTTAAAGTGGAAGTCAAGTCCGCTCTGCGCATCGGTCCTGCTCATAACAATGTGAGGACCTCTAATGTGAAAATTGCCCAAATTTCGAATGTTTCGAATTTTTCTGAACATAAACTCTATTTCATATTCATTTAAAAGCATAGCGAACCAAAATAGTGTTAGATATTCAGACAGTATATCACATTTTAAAAAAGAAATACAGTAGTTGTAATGTAATGTAAACAAACCGTTTGTTTACATTACGGACTTGACTAACCATATACTTAGTAATACTTATCCTTAATTTCTGGGAACTTACTACGTAGAAGGTTTTAAATCGCAACCCATAATTATCCCCAATATTCGCAGGCGAAACCAATCCTGGCATCTTATTCGAAGTATAAGGTTTTGCTGGATAACGTGGATCAGCTAGAAGCGGTGCAAGATCACTACGGCCAATATTTCTCCAGATATCCATAATTGCCCCGTTTTCTATTGGATAAATAAAAATAGTCAAGTTGACAAGTGATAATTTGTTTGCTGAGAGCAAGTGTCATTCTTGGAGAATGCGGCGAGGAGAAAACCTAAATTAACTAACTTTATTTAACTGGATAGCCATATTTTTCTGTCTATCACGAATTGGTTAGGCGTAACTATATTGAAGGTAATCTAACAAAACTAGCTTTATGCTAGATAGCCCTATCAGTTCTAAACTAGAGATCCAGTAAGGGACTTGTATAAATCCAGTAAGGGGCTTGCTTTATTGCCCCAGTGTTTTTGCAGTAGGAAACCAGATAACCAGAAGGGCTGTTCTCACGTGTGACCAAGGAGAAATTGCAATTAGACAACTGCAAAATCGCACCTTAATTGCTAAGTTGAAGGGCACATACATTAACTACTTCGTCATCAACGTACACCCCAGTTATGTTAGGATTGTAGGAAACAAAGTGAAGATAAAAATTCTTACCGTAGGGTGAAGGCGGAGTGGGAACAGCGTCAGCTAAATTAATGAAATTAAGATAGTAATAAGATATCAGTGGTACCTAACCAGAATCAGTTTCGCAACTATCTACAACAGCATTAGCAGCGTTCCATTTACAAAAACCAATCTACTATTAGTTCTATCCATAACGAGATGCTCAAAATCCCGATATGTATTCAACATCCTTTGCTTGCTAGATAACTTTAAAATATTTAAATTATTTTATATCTTATATCCGATACAACACGGCCGCTCATGTTGTAAACAGTACTCAAAGCCTGATCATGCGCGCCTTTGACTAGGGAACTAACACATCCAAAAGTGTGGCGGCCAACTTATCGTTTCAGCCAACTTATAGAATTACAGTTTCACCTGCGGGAAAATTTCGAGGACTCTTTATTTGGATTAATTAAAAATCACACACAAAATGATTTTGGTTTTACCTGGTGGAGAAGTATAGAGATCGTCTTTTGAGACAGGTGTTTGAATAATTCCACTTGGTAGTTTGACTCTGACAATAATATGATCAGGACCTCCTGTATCTTTCATCAAGGCTTCGATGAAGTACACTCTGCCTTTTTGCAGTTGTATCGGACTTGTGGTTTGCCGAGCAGAGTTTCTTTATAAATGAACAAGATACTGTATATTAATAATTTGTATTCAATTCAATTAACTTTACAATTCTCTCTATACCCATGGAAGTTAAGTAAAAACATTATAAACATATAGCTTATCTCGTTCTTAAATCGTATATTATTAGGAGATAGTTCTGTATGTGATCCTGATCATGTTAACTCAAGCTAAATTGTTTGAAATTATATACATTGGTCGACATATATACGTATCGCATTGAAAAAGAACATATAATTTAGGTTATAGGCTATACCCTTTCTTATTGAAGGTAAGCTTCCTAATAGCTTTTATGGGGTATTCTACAGGGATCGACACAAAAGCCACTATATGTATTCGGTCAAGATAATAGTCGTGTCTTATCCCCCGGAGCCAACGGCGCGGAGCACCGTTCCGGCTGTAAGCCCGGGGCGAGGGTACTAATTCCGCCCAGCTATTTATATCGGGGGAAACGAAAGCATTAGCGAAGCCTAAAGTACATCAATTATCGCAGGCGTGGGCCTGTTGGGCCACCAACGGTGTTGAGTGGGTGGTCATCCTCACTGATCTCAAAATATGTGGCGGACTGTCATGAATAGCGAACACTGATTGGTCAAATTTAAAATTTGTTGTTGTGATTGATTTGATGACAAATGACGACAGCGAAAATAACGAACATTTCTCGCAAATCAGCAAATATATTGTATTTTTGCAAGATTTTGCAAATTTCAAAACATTTTTAAGAGCCAAAAACCGAAAGTCGCCGACGTTAATGAAGGTATTAAAGTTTGTTTTTAATATAATATATTGTTTGCTTTATAATTGCTTTAAAAACTGATACGATGGTTGCGTATATAAGTGAAAAAAGACAGCATATAATTTGAGTGTATTTTTATTAATTACCCTTTTTTTGTATATTAAAATATTTAAATAAAGTGGAAAGCAAAGTTATTTTCATGCAAGAATTTGAAATCAATTTATTTCGATTTTGAAACTCAATGTTTATCGATAAAAGGCAGTTTAGTTTTAAGAACATTTTGAAACGTTTTGTGAAGCGTTTGTGGTTGATTTTTACATTAGCTTATATTACGTATAATAACATACAGTACCTAGCATATATATGTTTGGGAAATTGATCATTTTGTAATTAAAAGTGATATTTTGGGGGGATTTTTCAATTTTAAAACTATTCTTAAAATTATCGTGTTACCATGTCAACAAGGCGAGGGTTTCTGCATGCAAGTATTTTCTAGTGTTATGGAATAACGTACTTGTCAAATTGGTTAACATTGGTCCACAATCCACGTGGAAACAATACATATAACTTCAGATTATCTGGATTTTCGTCCGTACCAATAGACAACTGACACTGATCATCACCAGATACATAGAATGTATATGCTCCAGTCTCGGGAGCCTAAAAATAAAGTTTAACCAAGAATGTCATGTTAAACTTATCTAACTATATTTATCTTATTTATCCTTGATATAGTTCTATCACTTGTAGATTGTTCTTCATTTTGGTCTAGTAAGTGCTAACACTCAATGATCCAGTGTTACCAGTGGCGTAGTCAGCCCGACAATTTAGTTCCGCTATGCAAATTCAAAATTATTATCATTATTCATTTCTTTAGAAATTGATTTTTTTCACAGTCAATGAACATGAAAATATTTGCATAGCGGGACTAAATCGTCGGGCTGGCAAAGACTAAATGAATTTTATTTGTACTGGACAGATCTACCACTTATAAACTGTTCCTCCAAGTGGTCCGGTAAAGATCATCTCTTACTGATTCAGTGTTACTACAGACAGAAAATCTGAGTATCTGGAGATAATGCATGGTGTTTGGTAGAGTCCACTCTAAATGGAAGCATTCTTCTCACATGCATGCAGGCAACTGAGAAAATCGTACATTATAAAATTCGAGATCAGTCGCAGACATGACAGGCATATGCTCTGCCCTGACAGGCATATGCTCTGTTCCACCAGCAGTAAGAGTCATAACTTATTGGTCCAGTATTACCAGAGAAAGTAACCGCAGTTTCAAACTGGAAAACACTCTTAATTCTCACGTGCGACTGAGGCCAAATTATAATCAGGCAACTGCATATTATCAGAATCGAAACTGGGTTACAGAATTGAAAGTCACATACAATATTGGTCCAGTGTAAATATGTAATATTTGGCTCACTAAAACTAAGAGTATTATCTAACTTTTTTCTTACCTTATAGTATGTGGTCATTCGAAGTCCATAACTATCAGGCAAATTATTACCACTTCGTGGAGACTCGAGACTGGCCAGCTTCACTGTGGTGTCAGGTTTGTTTGGATAACGGCTATTGGATGTCATCATCCATATTTCGTTTCCAGCAATATTGTTCCATGTTTCCATCTTAACGCCTTTTTCTACATTGTTAAATGAAACAAAGATTTCTGCATGAAGCGTAATTTAAACAAGAGCAATAATATGCAGAGCTTGTATGACCTTGTATGAAATTTACGAATATACGCACATGTTAACACAGTCCTAACTTTAAAATGCCATATAGTCAGACTGTGTGTATCTCCCTGCAGGAATCTGTTATAGAAGAACCTCAAAAATATTTAAAACACATTGGCGTTTCGCCCTGCAACTAACCCAAAATATGATTTTTTGAATTTTTCGTATAATTATGTAATTTGTGTCGCTCCAAGAAGAAATGAATAGCTAATATATTTAAAGTTTGTTTGTTCGCTGCAACAAGGTATATCAGTCATGTTTTCGCTCGCTACTGTGGTTTATATGTATACTAGTTAAAAAATGAGCAGCCGATCTTTATTTGATACACAAACTCGAGCCGAAGGTGAGAGTTTGTATATCAGATAAAGATCGGATGCGAATGTTTTAACGTGCTTAAAAAACGATCCATCTTATGAGTTCATTGGCGAAGTAATTTTAAAAATAAACATTGTCTAAGCCGGCGAGAAAATTAAAGCTGAAGTTTATTAAAGTTTTGTTTTGAGCACAGGCGGCCCAATCTCGCAAGGGTCAGTAGAGTAATGTATATTATTGTAAAAATATGTCATAAAATATAAATTTTAAAATGAAATTGACTTGCCTATTTGATAGTGTGTATTCTCCTTTTATTATTTTTTTGTTGGACTAATATTTTCCGAGACTTTGGAAAGTATTAGTCCAACAAAAGAGGAATAAATGGAGAATACACACTATCAAGTGGGCAAGTCAATTTCATTTTATATTTTATGACATATTCTTGCAATATTTATTATACTGACCCTTGCGAGATTGGGTCGCTTGTGTTTTGAGAAGCTGAGTTTTTTTTTTAATGTGTTCTCAGAATGCAGGAAATGCTATTTCAGAGACCCAAATTTTAAAAGGGCATGCCCCTAGATCCCCCTAGCTACCTCGTGCCTACAGTACTCGGCGATCACATACTATCCTGGGAGGAGGGGGCAAGGAAAATGGGCCTTTTGGCAGTTTTGCCCCACCACTAAAAAATCCTTAAAAAATGCACTGCCTGATGAAGACACTAGACTGGAGTGTCGACTAGGCTTAATTTGTGTTCATTTATATAAACCAGAGTAGTGACATGAACTATTATATATTTTTATGGTTCTAAAATCTCATCTTGATCAACATTTTACTGTTAAAGCTGCTGGATACGACGTCATTAGATGGATTGTCAATTAGTTTACCTTGCGCCATAAAGGTCTATAAGAACTTGAAATTTACGAGTACATGCGTGTATTAAGCAACTCCTAGGCCTGTTTTAGACGACAAATTTAATTCGTTGAATTCAATGCTATAGCTACTGATTTTATATTTCAGGGGCCGGTTAAATAAAATTCTTAACTACTTTTTCTATCACTATTTTGTAGTTAACTCTAAAATACGCAATTTTGATTGGTTAACGTTCGCATGCACTAACTGCAGTTAACTTTAATTCCATTTTATTATACAAGCGACTCCCGAGGCTGGTGGTACGAAGGCCGGATAGCACTGTCCACTTGGATAGTGATTTTATCCGGCCTCCGTACAACGTTTTAATGGTCTTATTTGACGCAGTACACTAGCTATGTGCGAGGTTTTCACAGTATTCTATTGGTTCCGTCGCATAATTGACAGAAATTCCATCGAGTAAAATTCACTCGACATCTAAAGCCTGTTTCCACTTCAACCGTATCGTAGCTAACCGTATCGTAAAGTACTAAAGCCGGTTTTCCACTAGGCGGAATTTTGCACGTGGAGCGAAATTTTTCTTTGTCTTGTGATTTCTCGGGCGTAACTAATTAGAAAAGACAAAGAAACTAGATTCCGCTCCGCGCGCAAAATTCCGCCTAGTGGAAAACCGGCTTAAAGGCGGATTTCCAGTCCTCGCATGCACGAAGCTCCTCGCAGCTCGCTGCGAGTGCATGCATGAGCATTTTCATCCGATCACAATGCTAAACAGTTAATTTTAATTAGATCCAAGTACTCGCACCGAGCTGCAAGGAGCTTCGTGCGAGGACTGGAAATCCGCCTTTAACCTACAGTGGCACTTTCTTGTGTCGAAGTCATTAGTTTCACACTACCGCTCAGGAAACAAAGAAATACGCTACGTTTCGGTACGATGAGATTGAAGTGGAAAACTGGCTTAAAGCTGGTTTTCCACTAGGCGGAATTTTGCGCGGAAGGGAATTTTCCTCTGTCTTTTTAAAGCCAGTTTTCCACTATAGGCGGAATTTTGCGCGCGGAGCGGAATTTTTCTTTGTCTTGCGATTTCTCGGGTGGAACTAATTAGAAATAACAAAGAAAAATTCCGCTCCGCGCGCAAAAATCCGCCTAGTGGAAAACCGGCTTAACTGTGGTCTTTTCTAATTAGTTCCACACGCGAGAAATCACAAGACAAAGAAAAATTCCGCTCCGTGTACAAAATTCCCCGTGGTGGAAAACCGGCATATATAAGTGACAGTCAACTTAAGTTAGGCAGAAGCACCGAGCACATTTTGACGTATATTCCTGTAAGCGTTTGTGACCAAACTACTTAAAGATTAACAACATATTACATGCAGCTTCGTCCTGACGAAGGTTTAAATATTTTTCATATTTAGTTCATGCGCAAACTACTACAGCAATAAGGCTATTCGCGTTATAATTTTCATATTCCAAATATTTCCAAGCCAAATATTAAAATTGGTTTGAAACAACTCTTCTTGTACGGTATAAAAATAATTCACAAGGAAAATATTAATGGCATTGAAAAGTTAGCGATTATCCAGGTCGCTCAAGATATCTATATCATATATTTTGCAAAACTGTAAGATATATTTTCAATCACCTCAATATTAAAAAACGATTTGTGGGAATAAATTTTTACGTAATATATACATGCTGTGAGAAAATCGGATTTACATAATTTCATTTAACGCTAATTAGTTCTTAAACAACCTGTAAATTTAACTATTCAAGAGTCGAATAGCTTTTTCAACACATTTAATCTCAGTGTTTCAATCCACCATTGTAAGCGCCTTCTCGTGTATGATACAGAAGATTGTAACTTGTCTCGCACTATAGCGAGTAATAGAATAAGCGAAAAACACCGAATGAAGATAAAAAAGATGGGCGAGCAGCTAAATAATACGAGTCGGCAAGTCCGCCTAATGTATAGTTACTGACCGCTGCCCCTAGAACACCTTTTGATGGAGATGCGTAGCCCGAGTATCAGGTCATTTTGCCTACCTTTAAGCGGGATGGAAGGGGAAAAATATTTGAGTGAGAACATATCATTATCATATTTCCAATTTTAATCAATATTTGGGAAATGTAGCATGCCTCTGGACTTAAGGCTATACGCATCTTAGTGATTATGGACGATCGCTGGATCACGGTACCTGCCGTTCCGGTATATCAGTGTATACACTATCATAGATTGGCAATAATTGTAACTGTTTCTATGTTTAAAGGAAAAAACTGAACGTATTTACACTGTATATCAAGGTTATAAAAACAAAACCCCGAAATTATTAAAATTTATTGTATTATGTTTCTCCTCCACTTACCGGCGACAGCGATGTCCATAATGAAGGCGGCTATAAGTAGCCATTTTACTACTTCGCCTTCCATTCGCTCAATAACTTGTGATCAATTCATTATTTTTTAAAAATATATTACTCGATAAAATATATAATATATATATCATATAATTCTCCCTAAAATAGAAGAAAGGATATCTCTCAGAGTTTGAGAAAATTAATATGAGATTGCTCTTGGATGAAATCACCATAAGCGGCAAACATAATTAAATTTGTTTATGGTTAACTTGATCAAAATAAACAGGTCCAAAATATAAACAAGTCACATAAACATTCAAGCCCGTACAGATTGATAATATTTTCTTGATAGACCTGCCGGTTTGAATTTTGCAAGAAAAAATTATTTGACTTGATAACGTGTAGGTTCCTATATGGTGGAACAGTGTTCAGTGCATGTGTTCTTCACGACGTCCCCTCTACAACTGGCTGGGATTAGCTTCCTGAAATATACAGTTGGCCGATTATAATTTCACCTCGGTCTACCAAACACGGCAAGTTTTCTCCGCTTTAGTAAAATTGGGATAATTCCACTTTTTCATGTGTTTCGAGTCAATCTTGTAACCTAATGCTGCACACACGAGTAAAAGTCAACTTGTCCGAATTACTTATCAAGAAAAACTTGTTCGTCTGAAACGGGCTTTTTAATCCATTCATGCGAGACTTTATTGGGACTAAACTCGTCTGGCGTAAGACTAAACATGTGCCGCGCGACGTCTGGTTCCCAGCCCTCTCACGGATCTGCTGGCTATACGAACGCTTATATAGATCTCATCCAATAGAACTAGTAACTCTCCTTAACTCAGCCTATATATAAACCTAGGACCTCCTATTTATATTTCAGTGCTTTCACGTGAGAAGACTGGAACGTGGGCAAGGACCGGGGTTAAGGAAAGAGTAACAGCGAGAAATTGCATAAAAGGCCTATAATATTTCCAATGAAAATGCTAAAAACTGCCCCAAACTTGGCCCGTTTCGATATGGTCAACTTTTGCGTTCTCAAATCGGATTTTTTCACAATCTAAGAGCGATTCCAAACCAATGCAGGGAGGTAAAATTAATTTAGTTATGGCATAAACTTACAATTTTTGTGTAAATCTCCGACAATAATATACGATTCTTTCTAAAATCTTTAAAGACTATGCTTGTTGCCAAAGCTCATGAAAGACTCTAAATGTTTTGAATGCACTTTTTTGTAAACATCATAATTATAGTCATCATAGATCTTATATTTACAGACATTTACTTAATAGTTGACTTCTCTTACACTTAATAGATTATATATTTTAAGAATTAAAAAAAGGTCATCAAATTTATATTAGTGTCAAATTAAGATTAGATTAGGGTTAGATTAAGATTATATTACGGTTAGGGGTAAGAGTTGGGGTTAGATTAGGTTCATCTATCCTAATACGTTATTGCGCGAATTTATTGTATTGAAAATTTCGGACGTGTTTTAACAATTCACTTATATAGTAGCTAAGTTTAAAGTTCGAGCTCATGCTGAATATTCAACTACTAAGCTTGAACTTATGCTCCTAACTGACTTCAGATAAAACCAATCTGTTCAACAAAAGATCCGAGTTCTTCGCAAAATGTCGCAATCAAGAAAAATTCAGCGCAGGGAAATTCCAACGCGCGCAAGCAAACAAGGCAACGCGTCAGCGAACGGTTGATGATGCAATTACATAAGAACACAGTCACAGATGAGGTAAATATACAGATATGAATTTCCCGTCAAAATGCTGATTGTTTTGTGTCACACGCAATTCGCCAACGTAATCACTTCCGGTGAGCGCTGGCAAGTGTCGTTCTGAAATTTAATAGGGAAAGTAATGGGAAAACGCCGTTCGAAAGACGAAAAATTGTTTTTTTTAAAAAAATCTGCGCTACCGACGGCTATTTTTGTAATGAATTCTTCAAAAGTAACGGTAAGTGTATCCTTTATTATGAATAAGAAGTGAAATTGGAATTATTCCCATGAATAATTTAGTTAGTTTTGTAAGTTACTAGAGCGGATCTTTGTCTTTATATTCACGAACATGCCTCATGGAATACGCTTGAAAACTATATAAATAAATCGCATATTAAAGCCTGTTCTATGTCGAAAGATGCTCGAAAGGAAACGCTTTACCCTTTCGTCAACATGGATTATCTTGAAAATAGATAGGATTGAAACGGATTGCGAATTTACGATGTCAAATAGGATTCCCATGGCATATCCTAGTCTAACAATGTTGAACTTATATTGAATTAATTAAAAATATTAAAATTTCATTTAAGTCACACATCAAACTCAAAACAGAAGATGTGTGAGATTACTATAACGTCTAATATATGAAACAAAAATATTACAACAAGCCCCAAAACCATATTTGAACATTATTATTACAGTATTGTTATACTGTAGTATTTTATAGAACTTTATGAAAATGACGTTTGGGTTACCCATAAAATTCAATTGACTTGACCTTGATATAAGATTTGATATAAGATTATGAAATGGATAATTTTGGTTACTACTGGTGATCCTGTAGTTATAATTTTGCAGTATAATCATAATGATTTACAATCCTGTTAAATTGGTGTAAGGGCTTTTAATGTAATTAATTGCATTATCACCATATAAATATTTGCATGCATGTAAGTTTATATAACAACAATCAAAGCATGTAAACTTTACGGTATTTTCTGTTCTTTTTCTTTGCAGAACGCATTTCCCTGTTGCCGAACTTCAATGCATAATGAATGCGCATTCTAACAAAAAGTTTTAACAAATATGTACTTGGAAAATGTGCACATTGTACAATTGTGAACTTTGGAAGGATAGAGAGTAAGTAATTTCCAACTTCTAACTTATCTACATTGCTTGTGAATGCATCGATAAACTTGGCTTCTGTGCTTGCAACATAGTCAACACATGTTTTAGTGGGGGTTAGTAATCCTACGAAAGGTTTGTCCTTATTTTGTTCATAGCCTTTGTGATAAGCAAAGAAGTTGGTCGCTGCTGTTACTTATCAGCTCCTTTCTACAATTCTGGCAGGAATGCTTGACAAAACATTTCCTGAGTGAATAGCCAGCAACATAAGTGATGGCATTCATCTTGACTGTGTTGTTTTCTAGGCAGGTTTTGTAGTCTCCAACGTCGACATTGAATTGTCGTGGCTGACTTGTTTGTGGCTGTGGCCTCGATGTAGTAGACGTATTGGTTGCCGGCACTTTACGCTTCAAAGGTCCTACCAGCATCTGATCGAAATCTTCTGCACAGTTTCCTGTTTGTAGAATAAGGTAGATGTCGTAGAAGAGTTTCCTGAATCCTCGTGTGAACTGCAGTGGCGTTGGACTGTCTGAATTTCCACCCTGTTGTCTGATTGCTCCAAAAAAATTCTCCAAAGGATTGAGCCGCGTCTTGTCAACAGAAATTGACGAGATTGCTGTTCACGAAGGACTTCCCAAAGTAAAAGTATTGCATTGATTGTTGTGTACAAGCCATTTAAACACTTCAGGTAGCATGTAACATCTTGTTCATTTGCAGGCTTCACTACTTTTATTGATTTAACAAAAGTTAGCATTTCTTTCAGGAATTTCTTGTGGATTGAATTTTGGGAAATTGCGTGCTTGTGAACTTTGGCATTATATAACGTAGAACTATTGAGGCAATCAAAAATCTTGAAACAACTTGAAACAACTTCTGCTGTCCCTGCGGCTGCTGCAAGCAAAGCACCAAGACTTACCAACATCAAAATTGAAGATGCTACTGAGTGACTTAGAATTTGAGTATTTGACTTTCATTTTGGTAAATCAATTTAGATGAACGTGTTGGTCAGATAGCTTTGGACAGCAACGAATTGCCATTGTTTTGTCCCTTTCATATACCGCAATTATATCGTCCCAGCGTGCAACCTTATTGCCAAAGTGAAAGTTGTAATTGATGAGGTTATTTCTAACAGCTTTTATTATATCATGAGGTGGGTCGAATATATAAAAATATTTTTTGCCATTATGTAAGAACCAGGGTTGTGTGGGTGACACCTTCAGAAGTTTCACCAATTTTTGAAAATTTGATCCCAGGTCGGAGATAATTGCTTGTACTTTCAGGCCGATTGAACTCACTTTATTTAGTATTTCGAATAGCTTTTCTTTTAGGACCTCGCTGGGACATGCTTCATGGACCAGGTAATACCCAAGGGGTTGTTTCCAGTTGGCAGTAATTGCTCGAGCCATGAAGACTATCGCTGATGTTGCTACACGTCTGCTGCGATTCCCATCACCAAAATCTTCCACACCAACCACTTTGTCCCGAGCTGAATCATACAAGAGTGATATTTTCAACGATATCTCATCCATCGAAAGTGTGCAAAGCTTGCTTGACTCATCCATGCACTTGACTTTACACTCTATTGGATCCAGTGCTTGTTTGGAAAGACCAGGACCGCTTGGTAACACTTCAACCCATTTTAGCACAGTCGGTTTACATGGAAGGTGGAAAAACGTGGAAATTAATCTACATGCCTTGCCACTTACATGGTAAAGTGACAGGGCAAAGGTTTTCATCACTGGTGTGTACCGTTTCCCTCTATTTTTTTGTGTTATGCAGCTGAATTTGCATTGCAATAAACTTGACCACGTTCTCTGGTAGCATGGTTTTTAAAGCTTCCAATGCTGTATCTTTATTGACTTTTTGCTTCTTCTTCATATTCAATGCTTTCCTCAGCCTTTGCACTCTTTTTCGTTGTCTTGTATACAGTGTTTTGTATTTATTGATTGGTTTTTCTCTTGTTTTTTACTACCAGTGTTGCAAGCTTGAGGAGGAAAACATCTGGATGCAATCTCGGCACTTGATGCAATTGAATTTGAACCAGCAATGGAAGTTGTGTCATCTAAGAAGAGAATGATTTGGGATGAATGACTATTACATGTGCACTACCATCACTGACTGGAGTTGTTATGTAAGTACATATTAAAGCACTAAAAATTAGTACCAGTATCACTCTCAGGTTTTCCAAGTGTTGATGTTGCCTTAGTGTAATCCATTCCTTGTGCATGGTGATTTATATTAGGGCGAGGTGGTTCTACAGTATAAGAACATAAACATAAGATATGTATTCCTGTAAACTCTGCATGTTTAGAATTTGATCTGTTAAGGAAAAAAAACTACCAATATGAATACCATTGTTCATTTCTTCTAATGGCAAGTCTTCCATATAAACCATTGTTTCATGTCTTGGCAAGGCAACAGGATCTGAATTTATACATCCCTCTAAGTACAATATGCAGATATTATATAAATCTGTTACATAATAGGGATTTGGTGATACTGACAACAGGAGTCCTAATTCACGCTAAAATTTTACCTTGCAGCAAAACTGGAACTTCATCTTCATTTGATTTTTCCCCATTTTCCTTTGCAGAATGTTCTGCAAAGTATGTACAGTCACATAGATGCAATTCTATACTGTTATGAAAACATGTGTACTCAGGGCCGCCGAGAGAACTCGCGGGGCCTGGGGCAAATCTTCCCTAGGGGCTCCATGACATCATATTTTTAAGCTAGAACAACTAGACTTTAGCTATAAACTGCATGTGGAGGTATTGTACTGTAAGGGACCCTCAATTTCAAAATTTCTTTCACCAATTTAAAGAACCTACTCAATTTTAGGCTCTCACTCTCAAGTTGGGGCCTATTAAGGTGGGGGCCCAGGCAATTTGCCCCCCCCCCCCTTCTTGGCGGCCCTGCGTATACTGCCTTCATATATGGGTGAAGCATAGTTGGAGAGAAGTATGTAAAGGTCAGGCATTTTTTAGAGTTTGTTTGGAAAAACGTTCCTTGCTGACCCCCTCCCCCCATTAGTGCACAATCTCACACTATGTCTAAAAAAACAGTTTCTGATGTTCAGTGATATATTCTTGCCCAGTTCAACCGGAGACTGCATTTTTATCTTATTGCATATAAAAAGGATTTTGACCCAATACTATATTTGCTTTTATTATATATGTTGTGTTTCTACTACTGGCATTCAGGACATACTTGTGATGGTTGTATACAAATTTAATTGTTCAGAATGAAGTTTTTAGAAAAATCAACGAAACTTTGTGCCAAAATAGTTCTCTAATGTTTTACCGTTATCGTTATCAGGTTTTCTTGCCGAACCAACAGTCTACGCTTTACGCCAATTCTTGGAGGTGAATTTGCAATATTGAAAAGTGTCGGCGCGGCTGCATGTGTAAGTCGATTTCTCTTTTCATTCTGGAACGTCTCCTCTTCAAAGTGCTCGCTGCAAAGACGGATATTATTGTGCAGGTAGTCCGAGTCACATCTTAAAAAGTCAAGTCTTCTGCTGTTAATGACCCATCTTTTGGATCTAAAGCGAATCAAGACAAAACGTCCAAACAGATTTAGACGAAAGACAATTATGCTATAGTATACTATATGAATATTGTAGCAGGTTTTTTAAGTAAACTAATTATTTACGTAAACTAACCTTTTCGGCCTTTAGGAAAGCGAAAAAAAGACAGGTTAGGCTTCCACCTTTTGTTGTTTTCGCAATTGATGGCCGAGCACCATGTCGTACCACTTGCTCGTTTACGCTTTTTGCTTAAAGTTTCCTCCATTAGATTTATTTTTTGGCGCTGTGACCAACCGTGCACAATGTGTCAACTGTTCTATTAATTAAATGCTTTAATTCGCCAAATAAACAAATAAAAAAAGCTCAAAGATGTCTTGTTTACATCGGCCGTCAAAAAAGATGCAAGACGATCCACTGACGTGATAAATGGAAATTGTTACATTTGTTTACAGCAGACTTTAAATCTATAATGAACAGCGCCTGTTTGCCGTTAATTGTTTGAAGAATAAAGTTTTAATTTTTTAATAAAAAATGTGTATTGTTTTGAGATTGTACTACTATAAAGGTTTGTGGATTAATGGTCCCAACTACGGTAAAGTTGATCCAGAATTCAATATTTCAATATACTATAGTCTATAAGATTAATTAACAATTGTCAATTAACATTTACAGAACAGTTCTATATTTAAGTTCTTTGTACGTTTGCATGGCGATAAAAAATATAATAGTTTTGTTTGTGGAAACACCACGTAAATTTATTACTGCAGTAATGACAGTAAAAACTTCATTCTGCAGTTTTTTGCAGCAATAAATTTACGTGGTGCTTCCACAAACAAAACTAATATAAA